ATGTAGATGTGATACACTTATATACTGTGGTATGATTACCACTGTAGTGTTAGATAATACCTCCATTACCTTATGTACTTATCATTTCTTTTCTGTAGTGAGAACATTTAACATCCAGTCTCTTAGCAACTTCCAAGAATATAAAATAGTTAACTATACTCACATTGCTTTGCATTAGATTCCCAGAACTTATTCATCCTCTACCTGCAAGTTTGTACCATTTGATCAACATCTCCTCTGTCCCCCTACCCACCAGCCCCTGCTAACCACCATTCTACTCTTTTTCTACAAGTTCAGCTTTTTTAGATTCCACAAATATGTGATATACAGTATTTGTCTTTTTCTGTCTGACTTATCTCACTTAGCATAATGCTCACGTTGGTCTATTGATGTTATCACAAATGGCAAAATTTCTTTCTCATGACTGAATAATATTCCATTGTGTGTGCGTGTGTGCGTGTGTGCACCACATCTTCTTTATCGATTCATTCATTGAAAGACACTTAGGTTGTTTCCATATCTTGGCTATTGTGAATAATGCTGCAATAAACATGGGAGTACAGATATCTTCTTGATATCCTGTTTTAATTTCCTTTAGATGTATGCCCAGAAGTGGGATTGTTGGGCCAATCATGTGGTAGTTCTGTTTTTAATTTTTTGAGGAACCAACATACTGTCTTCCATAGTGACTGAACCAATTCACATTCCCACCAACAGTGCACAAGGCTTCTCTTTTCTCCATATCCTTGTCAATACTTGTTACCTCTTGTCTTTTTTTTTTTAAGATTTTTTTTGATGTGGATCATTTTTAAAGTCTTTATTGAATTTGTTACAATATTGCTTTTGTTTTATATTTTGGGTTTTTGGCCGTGAGGCATTTGGGATCTTAGCTCCCTGACCAGGGATCGAACCTGCACCCCCTGCATTGGAAGGCAAAGACTTAACCACTGGACTGCCAGGGAAGTCCCTCTCTTGTCTTTTTGATGATACCTATACTAACAGGTGTGAGGTGATATTTCATTGTGCTTTTGATTTGTATTTCCCTGATGATTAGAGATGTTGATCGTCTTTTCACATACCTATTGGCCATTCATATATCTTCTTTGGAGAAAAAAAAATGTCTATTTCCTCTGCCCATTTTAAAATTGGATTGTTTGATTTTTTGCTATTGAACTGTGTGAGTTCTTTATGTATTTTGAATATTAGTCTCTTATCAGATATATGATTTGGAAATATTTTCTTCCATTCCATAGATTGCCTTTTCATTTTATTGATTGTTTCTTTTGCTGTACAGAAGCTTTTAATTTTGATATAGTTCATTTTTGCTTTTGTTGCTTGTGCTTTTGGTGTCGTATTAAAAAAAAATGTTGCCACGACCAATGTCAAGAAGGTTTTTCCTTGTGTTTTCTTCTATAAGTTTTATAGTTTCAGGTCTTACATTTAAGTCTTTAATCTATTTCAAGTTAATTTTTGTGAATGCTGTAAGATAGATTTCATTTTTCTATATATGGCTATCCAATTTTCTCAGTACAATTTATTGAAAAGACTTCTTTCCCCACTGAATATTCTTGGATCCTTTGTTGAATATTAGTTGACAGTATATGGGGTGGGGAGGGGGTATTCCTAGGCTCTCTAGTCTGTTCTGTTGGTCTGTGTGTCTATTTTTATGCCAGTACTATATTGTTTTGATTACTAAAGCTTTGTAGTATAGTTTGAAGTCAGCTTTGTTTTCTTTCTCAGGATTGCTTTGGCTATTTGGAGTCTTTTGTGGTTCCATACAAATTTTAGGATTGTTCTATTTTGGGAAATAATGTCATTGGAATTTGATAGCGATTGCATTGACTCTATAGATAGCTTTGGATAGTATGGACATTTTAACACTATTGATTCTTCTGATCCATGAACACAGACTGGATATCTTTCCATTTGTCTGTGTCCTCAATTTCTTTCATTTAAGCCTTATAGTTTTCAGTGTACTAATCTTTCACTTCCTTTGTTAAATAGTCATAAGTTTTATTGCTTTCATGCTATTGTGAATGGGATTGTTTTCTTTATTTCTTTTTCAGATATTTCTTTGTTCATAAAAACACAACTGATTTCTGTATGTGATTTTGTATCCTTCAACTTTACGTAATTTGTTGATTAGCTCTAACAGTTTTTTGGTTGCAGTCTTCAGGATTTTCTATATATAAGATCATATCCACAAATAAAGACAGATTTACTTCTTTTCCAATTTGTATGCCATTTATTTCTTTCTCTTGCCTGATTGCTCTTGCTAGGACTTCCATGTTGAATGTTGAATAAGAGTGGAATAACTATTCAACTATGTTGAATAAGAGTGGTAAGAGTAGGCACCCCAGTCTTGTTCCTGATCTTAGAGAAGAAGCCTTCAACCTATAGCCTTTATTATATTGAGATTTGTTCCCTCTATATCAAATTTGTTGAAGGTTTTTATCATGAAAGGATATTGTATTTTGTCACATGCTTTTTTTTGCAGCTATTGAGATGATCATATGATTTTTATCTTTCATTCTATTAATGTGCTATATCATGTTGATTGATTTTCATATGTTGATCCACCCTTGCATCCCATGGATAAATCCCACTTGACCATAGTGTATGATCCTTTTAATGTGCTGTTGAATTCAGTTTGCTAATATTTGGTTGAGAATTTTTGTAATATATTCACCAGGGTTATTGGTCTGTAGTTTTGTTTTTTTGCAGTGTCCTTATGTGGCTTTGATATTAGGGTATGCTGGCCTCATAAAATGAGTTTGGGAGTTTTCGCTCCACTCCAATTTTGGGGAAGAGTTTGAGAAGTAGTGGCATTAATTTTTCTTGAAATGTTTGGTAGAATTCACCAGTAAAACCATGGGTCCTGGGCTTTTCTTTGTTGGTGGGCTTTTGATTACTGATTCAGTGTTCTTACTCATTATTGGTCTGTTCGTACTTTTTAGTTCTTCCGGATTCAGTCTTGGTATATTGTACATTTCTAGGAATTTGTCCTGTCCATTTTCTTAATTTAACAGGCAGTGGGAGACTTTGGCTCTCTGGTAGTGAAAGGATACATTATAGCCAATTGGAAATTCTGAGAGCATCTACCAAATGACTTGAAAAAGTAATACCTATTGTCTTTGATGCTCCCAGCTCTCATATTAGCATGAATTTTACTTTGTTACCATTTTGCATGTGTATATATGCATATGTTTCAGTGTAAAAATATGACAGCTACATTGCAGAAAATTTAGAAGAGAAAGCAAATAAAAATTATGCAATTACCTAATCACTGTTATCATTTTATTTCCTTTGAATTTTTCCCAAAAAGCATTTTTAAAACATAGTTAATAATATTTATTTTGTATTTCTATCAGTATTTTCTATTTTACTAAATGTTTTTTTCAAAAGCTGCTTAACATTCCATTGAGTGTGCTTTTTTTAAAAAAATTTTATTGGAGTATAGTTGATTTACAATGTGTTAGTTTCAGGTGTACAGCAAAATGAATCAGTTATACATATACATATATCCAATAAAAATTTTTTTAAAAAGAGTGTGCTGTTTTTGACATAAACATTTTCTATTGTTAGATATATAGGATTTTCCATCAACTTTCTAATGTTATAATAATGTTGTAGTCACAGCTTCATGCACATAGAATTCTTTATATTTTAGATTATTCTCTTAGAGTAGATTTCCACATTTTTATTGTCCTTTGTACATATTATCAATGTTTTTCCAAAAGATAATGCTAATTGACAAGATCACTAGCAATGTGTGAAGGCCAAATTATTCCACATCCTTGAATATTATTTTTTAAATATTTTTACTCATTTAATTTTTATAGCCTTATTATTTATTTCTTTAATTAGCACCAGAGATTGGGTTTTTCTTCATGTGTATTTACTATTTGTACTTCTTTCATGAATTGTTTAATTTTTATGTACTAAAGCAACGTCTTTACTATTAAAGTCTTGGGGGAATTGTCTAATTTTTAAAAACTTCAACACATGTATTTTTATATTGAAAAATTAAAACCGTGTATATGCAACCAGTAAATAAAATAAAAATTTCTCGATGCTGCTACATAGAAATATCCACTTTGGGTATTTTAAGTATATCTTTCTGACTTTTTAAAAATGTGTATCCATTTTTTTAAAATAATCAAATACACTATCACACTTTTAACCTACCTTTTCTCATTCATTATTCTATTGCCTTTATATGAAAAATGTCATATGTTTTCTCCTGGTAGTTCATGCCCTTTCCTGAAAATTTGAAAAATATGGAAAACTATAAAGAAGAAAAAGTACCCATCATTCTACCACCCAGGGATAATTGCTATCAATATATTGCAGTTCCTTTCCATTTTTAATGAATCTATATTTTCCCTCAAACTTGTTATCATACTAAATATATTTATGATATATTCAGTATATTATTATACTTATAAAATGTTTTTTATGATTGTCCCATAGTCTCATAATTTATTTTAAAATTGTCATGTTCTTAGATGTTTGTTTCCAATTTTCATTATTTTAAATGTTTTCAGTAAAATCTTTTTACAAAAAATGATCTTATTGATGATTGTTTTCTAATTTTTAATAGTCATTTGTTAAGTGTCAAATATTTTAAGGCTCTCAGTATCTATTGCCAAACTGCTTTCCAGAAAGGTAATTTACACAGTTTATACTTTTACTAGTTTTGTGTACACCTCATCACTCTTCACTCACATTGTCTACTATCTTACTTTAAAATATTTGCTAATTTGCTAGTTGAAAAATGGCATCTCATTGTTTTGATACATTTTTAAATGTGAATTCATTAACAAGAATAATAGGATCCCACAGAACATATTTTAACAAAAAGAAGTAGGCTTTTCCTAATGGGTGGTTGTAATGGTTATACTGTATGAGTGTGTGTGTGTGTGTGTGTGTGTGTGTGTGTGTGTGTGAACACAAACACTGAAGTCCTGTGCTTAAAATAGAACTTTTTTTCCTAATAGGTCTTGGTATCTTGATGGAGAAGCACTGCTAATAATCATCTGTGTTGCCATTGTGTTCCCTCTTACACTTCTTCCTAAAATAGGTAAGTCTTTATAGAAGAGGACATTATTTGTTTAGAAGAAAAGAAAAAGAAAGAAAGAAAATACTATTAAGGGGCTTTTAAATTTCATAGTACCACATTTTTAGCAGAAGGTGGTTGTGAATAATTTTGAACTTGGACTTTTAGGTTGTTCAGCTTTCAGCCCTGCCTAGTTAACCTATTACTTGGTTTGCAGTAGTATTTTGTCTGCCCCACTAAAATAAAACCTTTACAACGGAACATTAAAGAGCAGCCTTTCCTTACAGTGTACCATTAGTGGTAAGCCAGTTCCAATTCTGCTGTACAGAGCTACATAAATGATCTGTGACAGATAGTTGGAATGTTGTTATTCTCAGCCCTAAGCCCCAGATACCAAGCACTGTAATAAAAAACATGCCCAAGATGTATAGCATTAGCTGCACGTTAGGATCACTTTCCTTATAAATTGCTTTTTATTTTACTGTTATTTTACAGGCTTTCTTGGCTACACAAGTAGTTTATCATTTTTCTTTATGGTGCTCTTTGCTCTTGTGGTAAGTTTAAAATATAGTGTATTGCTTATCTCCTCACTAAAATTGAACTCATTGTGTTAATGTCTTTTTTCTCTTAACTCTGTTTTGTGTTGGGAAGGTATCCCATTTTATTTCAACGTGTTATTAAAAGCACTTTTATTCTGCAAAACTGTTTCCTTCATTGTGTCTATTTTGAAGAGGCTTAGCTAGAATAGCATTTCAAATTCAGTTTCTCTTCTGGTTAACTAGAGAGGAGAGCATACCAATTCTGTTAAAACCTTAGATGGAGCATAATTCTTTGGCTAGGTGTATGTATCCATTTATTTCTGTACAATATTGTGTGTGTATGTGTGTGTTTTGGGGGATACTCAAGCATGAGAATCAGGCTGGTTCTAATCCGTAAAATCAATTTGGTCCTAGTCATCTTAATTTTTGAAACTTTGTTCCATTAACAAAACCATAGCTTCAGGGGCTTAACTGTTGATGAGATCTAGTAAGAATTGGAGTGCCTGAATTCTATCTGGTCTGGTTTATTCAGCGTGGTTAAGCTCTCATGAAAAGCCTGCTGCAAAGAAATTTTTTTTTTTCACATGTGGAATGTTTTTTTAAATTAGCCCATTTTTGTTATAACGTAGGAAAAATCTCTCTCAGATGGTAAACTTTATTCTAATATTTATAAAATAATTTAATATAAAGATAAGAGAATTTTTTTAAAAAGATAAAAGAGAATTTGAATTTCTTATTTCTTTTAAATTCTTCTAAAACAGATTTTAACATTCCAAAGACTGTATTTTTGTGTGAAATTTTGGAAAAAAAAAATGCTTTTTCTTTTTGCTTAGCAGTTTACTCCATAGTCAGTCTGTCAAACCTTAAGTAGGATTAAACATTTTAAATTTGCCAAGATACATACCTAAATGGCTTGATTAAGCTCTTAAAATCATAAGCTTATTTAAATTCTCCTTTGTTATTGAGAAATGAATGAAAGAAAAATGCCGTCCAAAAGAGCAAGACAACACATCATTAGCTAAACCATATAATAGAACCAGATTTCCAAGCTGTCAAAACATTTAGGATGCATTTAACTTAGGCTAAACTATCTGCTGGGATACAAGGATAAAACAGCTTTAGATTATTTAAATGAAGTGAAAGTGACCCTGGTTTCAGTGTACAGAAATATTTATACTTTAATGAATGCTCTTAAAACTAAAAATACTTAACAGTGCTTGCATTTAATCATTTGTTGAATTTATCAACATTAAAATCATTGCCCTCCCCCACAAAAATTGCCCAACTTGTATCTTACAAGTAAGTGAATTGAACATACACTTTTTAAAATAAATAATCTATTGCTAATAATTCTTTTTTTCATTTCTAATATCCTACTGGTCTTATTTATTTATTTTATTTTTTTGGCTGCATTGGGTCTTTATTGCTGTGTGCAGGCTTTCTCTAGCTGCGGCGAGCAGGGGCTACTCTTCGTTGTGGTGGCTTCTCTTGTTGCCAAGCACGGGACGGGCTCTAGGAGCACGGGCTTCAGTAGTTGTAGTGCGTGAGCTCAGTAGTTGTGTCTTGCGGGCTCTAGAGCACAGGCTCAGTAGTTGTGGCACATGGGCTTAGTTGCTTCACGGCATGTGGGAACTTCCCGGACCAGGGCTCAAGCCCATGTCCCCTGAGTTGGCAGGCAGATTCTTAACCACTGCACCACCAGGGAAGCCAGAACATACACTTTATTTTTTAAGATTTTTTTTCTATTTTATTGAGATATAATTGACATTATAAAGATATAAACTTACAGCACTGCATAAGTTTAAGGTGTGCAGCATAATGACGACTTACATATATTGCGAGATGATTACCACAATAAGTTTACTTAACATCCATAAACACACTTTTTACGTGCCATATTAAGAGGGAAACAACAAATAATTTCATCATAGTTTGATTGTTGAGAAGCATTTACATGGTTTAGAGTGGCCTATATTTGCAAATTAACATATGGATATTAAAGAGAATCAGCGTACACACATTGAATATTTTCCTCACAGATAATTGACCACACAAGCATTGCATAGTTAGGAGTAATTTGGTTTTTATAGCCAATAATTTGAAGCAGGTAAAATGTATTGATACAACATGTCTATTGTAGTTTTCACAGTTTTCATTTCTGTCATGGCAGATACTCTTTAATTTGATGCAGATTCCTACTGTAGCTGTCATATGGAAATAATACCCTTATTCTGCATTTATTATGCTTTACAAACCGTCCGCTCAGATTTTACCTAGGAGCACAATTTAAATTTGGTCTACAATGGGGCAGTGAAGACACTGTATACTTTCTTCTTAAGTCTCTTTTTAATTGGCATATAGACATACCTCAGAGATATCGCAGGTTTGGTTCCAGACCACTGCAATAAACCTAGTATTGTAATAAAGCAAGTGACACAAAGTTTTTGGTTTCCCAGTGCATATAAAAGTTATGTTTACCCTATACTGTAGACTATTAAGTGTACAATAGCATTATGTCTAAGGAAACAATGTACATACCTTAATTTAAAAATACTTTATCGCTTACTCAGACATAAAAAGAATGAAATAATGCCATTTGCAGCAACATGGATAGACCTAGAGATTAACATACTAAGTGAAGTAAGTCAGACAGAGAAAGACAAAGATCATATGATATCACTTACATGTGAAATCTAAAAAAAATGACACAAATAAACTTATTTACAAAACAGAAACAGACTCACAGACATAGAAAACAAACTTATGATTACCAAAGGGAAAG